ATATATCTATATATATATATGTATATATATATATATATATATATATATATATATATATATATATATATATATATATATATATATATATATATATATATATATATATATATATATATATATATATATATATATATATATATATATATATATATATATATATATATATATATATATATATATATATATATATATATATATTTATATATATATATATATATATATACACACACACACACACAGTTGAAGTCAGAATTACTAGCCCCCCCTTTGATTTTTTTCTTTTTTTATTTTTTCCCAAATGATGTTTAACAGAGGAAGGAAATTTTCACAGTATGTCTGGTAATATTTTTTCTTCTGGAAAAAGTCTTATTTGTTTTATTTCGGCTAGAATAAAAGCAGTTTTTTTTTTTTTACTATTTTTGGGACAAAATTATTAGCGCCTTTAAGCTATTTTTTTTTCGGTAGTCTACAGAACAAACCATCGCTATACAATAACTTGCCTAATTACCCTAACATGCCTAGTTAACCTAATTAACCTAGTTAAGCCTTTAAGTTTCACTTTAAGCTGTATAGAAGTGTCTTGAAAAATATAAAGTAAAATATTATTTACTATCATCATGGCAAAGATAAAATAAATCAGTTATTAGAAATAAGTTTTTAAAACTATTATACTTAGAAATGTCCTGAAACAATCTTCCCTCCATAAAACAGAAATTGGGGAAAAAAATAAACAGGGGTGCTAATAATTTAGGGGGGCTAATAATTCTAACTTCAACTGTATATATGTCTTTTTTTAGGGAAACCAACCCTAATTTAAGCTGGTTTTGAGGTTATAAATGTCTACATCTACATCTGATGTTCCCCTGTGCCAGCTGTCGGAGAAAAATATTGTCAATTTGTCTCCTTCACTGGTCCATAGCTCATGTCTGGCAGTACAATGATCAAACAGCTGCGGTCAGCAGAAAGCGGTCAGTGAAGCGATGCAGATTTCTCCAACACCTCTCCGGTCAGTGACCCCTGAACAACACATTAGAGTCTTTATAATCCTTATTCACAGTCAAAAAGACAAGGTGACTCAGAAGCAATAGGCTGCGGCTTCTGCTGATGTATGATCACTTATTGTAAGGCTCTCATTGAGATATAAGGGCTTTAAAAATATGTTTAAAAAGGGGGTTTTAAGTGAGGCATGGTTATGATTAAAAAAGCAAAAATAAACTAACTAACTAAATAATAATTTATTATAATGCCTAATTACCCTAACCTGCTTAGTTAACCTAATTAACCAAGTTAAGCCTTTAAATGTCACTTTAAGCTTTAAATGTCACTTTAAGCTTTGCCGTGACTGTCATCACAGCAAAGATAAAATAAATCAGTTGTTAGAGATGAGTTACTACAACTATTATGATTAGAAATGGGTTGAAAAATCTTATCTCGGTTAAACAGAAATTGGAGGGAAAATATAAAAGGGGGCTAATAATTCTGACTTCAACTGTGTGTGTGTATGTGTGTGTGTGTGTGTGTATGTCTATTTTTTTCATAAAAATAGCAATAATATAAATGTCTTTTTTACATTACAATAAAAAACTAATTAATTAAATAAAATGTCCATAAAGTAAAAAATTATATACATAAAATATAATAAATAAATGAGTAAATAATAAAATTTATCAAAATTATTTAAATACAATTACAATAAAACAAAACATTTAAGTAAATAAGTAATTACACAATTAACATAAAATATAAAAAAGTAAATAAATAAGTAAATAAATAAAAGACATACAATAAAAACAATAAATAAACAAACAAAATAAAATAATAAAAAATTAAATGTGTAAACAAAATAAAATTATTAAATAAATTAGTAAATAATAATTAAATTTAATTAAATTTAATTATGATACTGTATAATAAAAAAATAAAAAATAGGTAAATACATAAATATAATAAAATATAAATAAATAATAAGTAAATAAATAAAAGAAATACAAAAAAAACAAATTAACAAATAATAATAAAATAGAATAAAAATAGTATGTAAATAAAATAAATGAGTTAATAATAAATTTAATTACATTTATTCGTTAATTCATTTTCTTTTCGGTTTAGTCCCTTTATTAATCCTGGCTCGCCACAGTGGAATGAACCACCAACTTATCCAGCACATTTTTACGTAGCGCATGCCTTTCCAGTCGCAACCCATCTCTGGGAAACATTCACACACACTCATTCACACTTATACACTACAGACAATTTAGCCTACCCAATTCACCTGTACCGCATGTATTTAGACTGTGGGGGAAACTGGAGCACTCGGAGGAAATCCATGCGAATGCAGGGAGAACATGCAAGCTCCACAAAGAAATGCCAACTGACCCAGCTGAGGCTCGAACCAGCGACATTCTTGCTGTGAAGTGACAGCACAACATACTGTGCCACTGTGTCGCCTTGATTACATTTAATTAAATTCAATTAAAATAAAAAATAAAAAAGTAAGTTAATATATAAATAAAATAAAATGTAAATAAATAGGTAAATAAATACATTTTAAATAAATAAAATATAAATAACATATAAAAACAAAACAAAACAAAAAAACAAAACACAAAACAAAACACAAAAAAACAACACAAAACAAAACAAAAAACAAAAAACAAAACAAAACAAAACACAAAACAAAACTAAAAACTAAAAAAAAAAAACTAAAAACTAAAAACAAAACACAACACAACACAACACAAAACAAAAAACACAACACAAAAAACAAAACAAAAAAAACAAAAAACAAAACACAACACAACACAAAAAACAAAACAAAACAAAACACAAAAACAAAAAAAAAAAACAAAAACAAAAACAAAACACAACACAACACAACAAACCCAAAACAAAAAACAAAAGAAAACAAAAACCAAACAAAAAAC